TGGTAGCCTTCCTTTCACTTACTTGGGGCTACCTCTGGCGCTCACCAAGCCAAAAGTTGAAGAATTCATGCCCCTGATTTCTAGATGTGAGAGAAGGCTAGTATGCACTTCTTTATTCCTCTCCCAAGCTGGAAAACTGCAGATCACAAATTCAGTCTTTACTTTCCTCCCAACCTTCTTTATGAGCATCTTTTATCCACATGTTTCCAGAAGAGATAAGTGAACAAATTTAGAAAATATTGTTTGTGGAGGGGAGCGGAGGAAAGTAACAGAATCAATGACACGGCAGCCTGCCCTATGGTTACAAAACCAAAGGAAGATGGTGGGCTGGGAGTTTTAGACCTCAAGACCCAAAATGAAGCTTTATTACTAAAAAACCTTCATAAAATTTTCAACAAAGCTGATATCCCCTGGGTGCATCTCATTTGGGAGAAATATTACAGAAATGGCAAACTCCCAAACCATATCAAAGAAGGGGTCTTTTTGGTGGAAAGATATTTTGAAACTTTTGGACAAGTTTAAAGGAATGGCTTTAGTACCAGTTGCAGATGGCTCTTCATGCCTTCTCTGGGATGATTGCTGGCAGGGACAACCTCTAAAACTGTCATTCCCTGAGCTCTACTCTTTTGTTTAAAAACCAGACATTTCTCTTAAAGCTGCAGTTGATGTCACCGCTGCCTCTTCTGTCTTTAATCTCCCTTTGACGGTTGAGGCTTTTGATTAGTTCCAGCAGATTGAACATCTTCTCCAAAACCTTCAGATGGTGAATGGTGCAGATACCTGGACATATATTTGGGGAACCTCCATCTTTTCTTATAAGAGAGCTTATCGACATCTTTTAGGATCGAGTTGGTCACACTGAAGGGTCGAGATGGCGGACTAGAGGGGGGATGAATAGTCTTTTCTAAAATTAATCACGTCGGCTAACCGATATAAATGCGGAATTAAAACAATCGGTCTAGCCAAGACTACACCCCTCTATATATGTTCACTAGCACCTTGCAAAGATACTAATAAAGCAACTAAGGTGCCAGGCTAGCTAGAGCTCTCCTAAACAATTCTAGGAGCAAGGTCACACAAACCTATGCCACTAGTACTTTAAGTAACAAGGGAGCTCCTACACATGCTAGTAAGCAAAAGCACAAAGCTAACTAAGCTCACTAGCAATGCTCAATAACAAGGCAACCAATACCTAATTAGAGAGCACAAATACTTAGCTACACAAACTAGGCAATGTGACTAATAAGGTTACTAAAACCAAATTAGCCACGCAAGGGAGCTACTTCTATATTACACAAGTAAGAAGGTAATTAGCTAGCTACACAAGCTATCTAATTACAAGAGCAACTACACAAGCTTAAGATATATATATATATATATATATATATATATATATATATATATAAGTAATTGCAAGCTTGTGTAATGGGGATGCAAACCAACGGGAAGAACAAGGTTGACACGATGATTTTTCTCCCGAGGTTCACGTGTTTGCCAACACGCTAGTCCCGTTGTGTCGACCGCTCACTTGGGTGGTTCAGCGGCTAATTAGCATCACCCGCTAAGCCCCTACGTCGTGCACCGCAAGAACCTACCCCTTGAGTGAGGTAGCTCAATGACACGCTTTACTAAAGTTGCTCTCTTCCTTCTGCGAGCACAAGTACCCCTCACAAGCACTTCTTCCGGAGGCGCCGCACAAGCTTCTTGCGGGCTTCGGCGGAGACCACCACCAAGCCGTATAGGAGGTGGCAACCTCCAAGAGTAACAAGCACCACTGCAACTTGACGACCACCTAGTGCCACTCGATGCAATCCTCACGATGCAATCGCACTAGAATCGCTCACTCACACAATCGAATGATCACTATCAAGTATATGTGTGATGGAGGCTCCTAAGCACTCACAAGCATGGACACTAAGTCCCTTGAGGTGCTCAAATGTTCATGGCGAGGCCACTTCTATTTATAGCCCCAAAGGCTAAACTAGCCGTTACCCTTCTTCATGGGCAGCGGTCGGGCCGACCGGGCCGCTCATGTCGTTGGCCGGCGTTGGACCTCAGCGTCCGATCGCCCACGTTGACCCGTGTCCGGTTCCAACGGTCGCCAGCTTGACGGGAACAGACGCGCTTTCAAGCCGGCCGGACGCTGAACACCCGGCGTCGTCATCGTTTTCGATATGAGTACCGACCTCCTCGCCACATTGATCGGACGCGGCTAGCGTCCGGTCACACTCCAACCTGCGTCATCGTCGTCGTCGGCCGGGCGCGGCAGTCCGGTGCATTCGATCCGGCGTCGGTTCTTGACCGGCGCGACATTTCTCGCGACTAACTTGCGTTTTCACTTCTAACTTCATCACCCTTGCTCCAATGTGCTAACCACAAGAACTTGCATCCAGCGCAATAGAAAATAGGCATTCTATTTTCCCGGCGCCGAATCCCGCCTCATAAGCTCGGGAGGAGAGGAGAGAAACCCAAACCCATCTCACCTGCAAACACCACCTCCTTTGTAAATGTGCCAACACCACCAAGTGTACACCACCATGTGTATGTGTGTTAGCATTTTCACAATCATTCCCCAAAGGATGTTAGCCACTCAACTTGCCACGCCACTCGATCCTAGCGACAATGCAAAGTTAGATCACTTCGAGTGGCACTAGATGACCGATATGCAAACAAGTTTGCCCTCTTGATAATAATGCGGCCATCTATCCTAAACCCGGTCATCAACTTCTCTACACACCTATGACCGTGAAATGAAATGCCCTAGGTTATACATTTCCCTTGCGCATTCCATTCCATCTCCTTCAATGTCGATGCAACACATGCACCAACACGATCAACAATGATATGATCCACTTCATATCATCACGTGATCATATTGGTTCATCGATCTTGACTTTGCTTCACCGTTGCCATCGTCCATCGGCGCCAAGTCTTGCTCAAGCTTCACCGCCACGCGGTCCATCACTCCAAAGCCTTCGACTTGCCTTTCACGCTTGCAACCGGTCCATCAAGCCAAGTCTTGTCTTGATCTTCTCCACCTTGATCACATGACTCAATGTCATGTCTCATGTGCAATAAGCTCCTTCATCATCACATGTGTGAGCTTTGCAACATCTCCAAGCCATTTTCACCTCCATGGCATATGTTGCTCATACACATATACTTGTGGACTAATCACATGTATATCTCACATAAACACAATTAGTCCACCTAGGTTGTCACTCAATTACCAAAACCAACAAGGACCTTTCACACACCCAATCTTCAAATGGATTTGGAAGTCTTCTTGTCAGCACACGCACAAGGTTTTTTCTGGCTGCTCTCTCAAGACAGACTTAGCACGCGTAATATTCTAAAAAGGAAAAACTTCCAGTTGGTTCTTTCAATTGCGTGCTCTGTGCTCATAATCTTGAAGAGACAGTCGACCACTTGTTCCTTGACTGTGAAATGGCTCGAGAATGCTGGGGCTTGATTGGACTGACAGTAAACAACCCCCTGAACCCCTATCAGAATTTTGAAGATTTCAGAATGCAGCTAAATGTTCCCTTCTTTATGGAAATTATCATCGTTATGAGTTGGAGCATATGAACAATTAGGAACCATGTTATTTTCAGAGGCATTCCTGTTAGCCGTCTTCGTTGCTCACAAATTTTCAAGCATGCCTTCGGCCTCCTCCTGAGGAGGGCCAAGAAGAAATATTTTCCCTCAATAGGGTTATGGTTAGAGCAAGTTGTGTAATAGCTCTGATTTTTTTTTTTTTTTTGTTTCCTGAATTTCTCCCCTTCCTTTTGTTTTTTTTTTTTTTGCCCAATTTGTATCTTCTCTATAACCCTGTTGGTTGTGTTTAATAAATTTTCAGTAGGGTCTCCTGAGCCCCTCCTGTTTCGTTTAAAAAAAATGTAAGTTGCTACAGTACGTTGGATGGATCTATTATACTTTGAATCTACACTTAAGGTTTAATTGTAGCACTTGAATCTACCCTCGTACTTCTTTGATAGAGAAGATTCGATATCTCAAGCAATGATTGTTTTTATCACTGTAGCAATTGAGAGTGCAGTAAGTACTTAGAATTTAGATTATTAATAAAATTAAAAAGATGGTTTAAACTTTAAAGAAGAGGACAATAGGGGCAGATCCAAGCTAGACCACCGGTCTTATCTGAAACAGGGTGACTCATTAAATCCAGTCAAACTTAATAAACTTTGAACTGCACAAAAACCTAGGCACACTTAAAAGGGATGGAGGAAGTAGTTCTATATTAAGCATGTTTGTTTTGGCTTATTCGCTCGTATCTGGCTTATAATCCATGGCTTGAACAGTGTTTTTCTCTCACACCAAATCAACCAGCTGTACTTTTAGCCATGGCTTATAAGCCAATTCAGCCGAAACGAACAGGCTGATTATCCGTAGATTTTGTTTATTAAGTGTAGTATTGTACTGGCGAAGAGAGTAATAACCCTCTAGTTGGTATTTTACATTCTCAGTACAAGCACATGGTGCAATTCATTCATCCATCCATGCAACATGCACAGGGTGGCCTCACCAACCAAGTCCACTGTTCCGGGCGCAGTCGTCGTCCATAATCCCAGCAGAGCAGAGCACCCGCAAGAGGCAATTGAAAACTTCTTGAATCGGGCGGACCGGACACGGGACATCGGACCGGCCCACCCCGCACGGCACTACGTGGCGAAGACCCCTTCAAGTCGTGGCCCCGCAGACATTTCCGCCCCCTGCTATAAGTGGCACGCCGGGCGGGCAAGCGGCGGCGCGCGGCGACCCCCGCAGCAGCTCCGAACCTTCTCCCCAGACAGCCCAGGAAGCTCACCGGGAAGCCGGTGCAAACCCCCCAAGATCACATCCCCGCCATCCCCCGCTACAAATCCACCCGCCAGCCCCCGTCGACGTCCCTCACTCCCCCATGCGCACCGGCAGCTCACCGATCCCCGGAGCCGCTACTACTATATAAATACAAAGCTTCCCCGGCGGTGGTCTAGCCGGCCATGGCGGCAGTCGGAGCGCGCCCAGTGCTGTACCACCACCCGGCGCCGGCGGGCGACGCCGCCTCCATGTCCTCCTACTTCTCCCACGGAGGCAGCTCCACCACCACCAGCTCCGCGTCCAGCTTCTCCGCCGCGCTCGCGCCGACGACCACGGCGCTCGCCGAGCAGTTCGACATCTCCGAGTTCCTCTTCGACGACGCGGGGGTCGCCGGCGCGCCAGGCGTGTTCGCCGATGGCGCGCCCCCCGTCGTCGTGTCGGATGCCGCCGCCGCCGGTGGGGGTGGTGCAATCAGCGCAGCCGCTGGGTGAGTGGCGTGCGTGCGTGCGCGTCGATTCGATCGGCACTTGCTTAATTGGCACCTGTTTCTGCCTGGGGCTTTCATTGTTCATCTGAAGTCTGAACCGTACCCGCCGGCCTGTTTGCGCTGGGCATTTCAGGAGCGTGGCTGCGGCGGCGGAGGCGGTGCCGGAGCGGCCGCGGACGGAGCGGATCGCGTTCCGGACGAGGTCGGAGATCGAGATCCTGGACGACGGCTACAAGTGGAGGAAGTACGGCAAGAAGTCCGTCAAGAACAGCCCCAACCCAAGGTAACTAATTGTATATCACAATTACTATCCACCAAGAACACCACACAATTAGTAGCGCTACTACACGCATTTCGCGATCTGGCTGCGCAGTCATCTGGATGGATGGATCGACGTCTCGTCGGCTGCTGGCTCACTCTCTCACTCACACATGACATTCGTGTGCGCGCCCGCAGGAACTACTACCGGTGCTCGACGGAAGGGTGCAACGTGAAGAAGCGGGTGGAGCGGGACAAGGACGACCCCAGCTACGTGGTGACGACGTACGAGGGGACGCACAACCACGTCAGCCCCAGCACGGTGTACTACGCCAGCCAGGACGCCGCCTCCGGCCGCTTCTTCGTCGCCGGCACGCAGCCGCCGGGCTCCCTCAACTAATCCCGATGGCCCATCGTCGCGAGTCGCGACGTTCCGATCCGGTCCACCGCACAGTGTTTCAATTCCCAGATGGCAGCTAGCTAGTAGCAGATATATAGGTCATGTTCGTTTGGGCTCATTGGGCGGATAGGCCGATACCCGATAGGTGATCAGCTGGGTCGGTTTCCCGAGGTGGATTTCTCGTTTGGGTTTCTAGCACAGCTCCTCTTTTCCCCTCCGGTTCTTTTCCTGCTCCGATCGTGGAAAGGCCCGGCGGCTGGCTGTTGCGATCGAATAGTATGTAGTGGTGCTGCTGCTGTTCATGCTGGGCTCAAGAGAGGTTTAATTTCCCATTGCCTTGAGCTCAGCTAAATTAGTCCGGGAAATGTAGCATATACTGCATTGACCGTGCAATAAGGTGTACAGAGGCTGATACTTATATTAGATTACATCTTGTATGCAGCGCAACGGTGCAAGTGTGGAATGTACGGTGTGTGTAATGTAAGATTGCGTATATATGCACAACGCACACCGAGCCAGGCATGCCACATACACGCGAAGCATGGTTTCCCAAGTGATTGTGAATCTGCTGTTTGTTTCTTCAGATGCCACTTAATTTTTCCTATCGGGTTATTTGGATCCAGTAGTGGACCACACTTAAAATTACAGGTGGGGAGAGCGTAAACCTAATAGATCACACATGCATATGAAATTTCAGGACATTATCTCTTACCGATGCAGCACAGGAAGGTGAAAAACAGATCTTCAAATCTACGTGATAAGAAATTAAGAAAAAGTTCGTCACATTATGCTATACTTAAATGGATGTGTAAACAATAAATAAAAAATGTATAAAACCATTTATTGTACCTCTAATTTTTAATTTCTTTCCAAATTGCGAAACTATCGTAGCTATTGGGTTGGATTTGGGGCACTAAACTTTGCTTAGGTTTAGAGCTTTGGAGAAGGAGAGATTCCCGCCAGAGGGTAGCTAGGGCAAGCCATCCCCCTGCCATATATGGGGCGGTCTGTCTTCTCTATTAAGATCAAACGCTTGAGGTCATCATGCTTTCCTTCTTGGTCAGTTGTATCCTATTACAGCTCTATTAACCCCACTGTTGTCGAGATCATCGGCCACCAGGCCACCACTTTATCATGGTGTGGTAGGTTTTTATCGGAGCTGTGCGCCTATGATCCATTGACACAGAGCTTTGATGAAACTATTGTACCCACGGCAACCTCTTTTGTACACTTCTTGCCATCGTCTTTGTCCTGCTCTCGTCTCTATCGTAACCACATCCTCGTATGTCCTTTATTGTTGTGGTCCACATGTAAATACAAAGTCTTATAAATTGAATACTAGAGATAGCTCTAAAATTACACAAATATCCTTTAGTTTACCAGATTATCACAAATACAAAGTCTTATAATTATTCAATTGAATATGCACAAGGGCAGATCGAAAGAACGAAAAAACAAATGTTGTTGCGATTAAACACTTCCATTTCATACTCGACAACTTATTATTGTATCGTTCTTGGTTCTAGTGGACCCACTAGATATCTCCTATTTTTTGTTTATCCGCATGGCATAAGTTGCACAACATTTATTTACCTTAGGTTTCATTATATACGCACACCTGTGGATTAATGACATCAGTGGCTGTTTTTTCTTTTAGCGGATCTTGTTTTGTACTTTTGGTGTGTGTGTTATTTGCGCCTGTGATTAAGTCTATGATATATTAAAAACACGGTTAAATTTTAGAATAAATTTAGAAAAACATGAACACATGTGCTTAGGGGATGTTTAGTTTGCAGCCAAACCCCGCCACGCCACAGCGGTGGCCAGCCACAAGATTTGGATATACAGTTGAGGCAGCCACAGAATGCTCCAGCGTAAAACTCGCCACAAACTGTGCCGCTCCAAAAGTTCGCCGCAGCAACGGCGCGCCACACTCAGCCGCAGTTTAGGCATGGCTAGCAGTGGCTCACATCCAAACACGCCCTTAGTATTTTAAACATGCTACGAAGAATCCACCACAAATGATTTAACAGACAGAGGGTAAAGCTCAATTTTGTTTTGCAAGTCGGCAAGATCAGCGTAACCGTTGTTTCGGACAACATGTTTCCTAACGGGTGAGCTAAACTGTGGAAGTAAGCTGTAGTCTTAACTCCGAAGGAACGGTCTATGTTAGAAGGGATTTTTCCGCACCTCAAACCAAAACAAATTGGCATGTTTTGGTTTTAGGATCGGATGGCTCATACTTCCATAGCCAGTTCACGAAGCAGTCCAGTTATTCTCGTGTTTATATATGTAATTATATGTATGACTTGTTATTGTGGTTTTTTTAAGGTCCATGTTTTTTTTAAATTACACAGTAAAACGTAGACGTCCATAATACGCACGTACACTCACCCCTATGAACATACGCACGATAACCCATACTCCTATGAGCACTTTCGGAAGACTAAGCCGATAGATCTCGAAATTCACAAAGTCACCACAGACGTCTCGCTGTCGACGGGGACGTCGTCTACCACTGAAAACATAGCGTCAATAAATCCTACAATAAATTAAAAAATACAAGTACCCGTGCTAGGTCGAGAATTTAAACCCGGTGGACAGGTTCCATCAGAAGGAACTCACTGGTCCATGATACTGTCGTTTATCTCAAAATTTGTATTATTTCCGTCCAAGAGAATCGTGGATGATGCCAGTGCAAAACGTGAGCGGTTTTAAATTCGTTTATATAGCTAGCCATTTGCCGTGGCATAGATTTCGAAACTAGTTTCCCACACGCTAACGGCCAACGGCACGATGCCTGCTGCAGCGCTGCTGCCTGCAAGCCCGCAGCCCGCAGCCCGCAGCCCGCAGTCCGCAGGGGCCGCAACCGCAACCATCCCGCTGCTCTCCCTCCCCCTCCCCTTGCGTTGCCAGCCTCGTCTCCCGCCTCCTCCTCCAGTCCTCCGGTTCTCCCCCGTCTTTCGGCGAATGCCACGCCACCTCGAATCGCGCGCTCGTGGCCCGAGCTTTCAGCCTCCTACCACCTCTCCACCCCCACTCCGGCGCCAAAAATAGATAGGGGATGAGGAATCGCCTCTGGTGCCTGGTTCGCGCCCCATTCCCCTCCGCCTCCCGCTCCGCTGCTGGTATCGCGCGCCTCCGCACGCGCTCGAGACGGACCGCACGGCGTGCCCACGTGGCGGCGAGGCGACCGGCGCAAGGGAGGGAGACAACGCCGCTGCCGAACCTGATTCAACCTCGCCGACGACAGCCGTAGCGTTTTGGTGATCGCATTACACATGGTGGGTGTCTTACTGTTTGTACTCTCGTTTTCTCATATGAATATGGAGTCCCGCTGTTCCCTTGTTGGTGGTGCCGTGTGCCGGTGTCGGCGCGCGCGCCCAGTCATGCAGTTTTGCAAGTCACTAGGTTGTCAGACCGGACTGAGGCAGGACAATCTGTCCTGTTCGTTTGGATGATATGTCATGACTGAAAGTACCGTTACTAATTTATTGTGAAAAACATACTGGCTGAAAAAGTATGGCTTATAAACCAAGCGAACAGGACGATTGTGAGCTTGTGGCTATTGGTTGTGTACTTGTGTGGCCCCGAGTGCAAGGTGAACTCGTTGGATTCTGGATCCTTCGTCGTAGGGCGAGAGGTTCGTTTTGGAGGATTTTGTGTAGGACTGACCCAGTTAATTGGAATTTCAGAATTTCCCAAGTTCACTTGCAGCCTGTTCGTTTGGCTGTGGCTTGTCGTAAACGATCGTAAATTTCTAGCCGGAACAGTATTTTTCTCTCACACAAATCAGCCAGCAGTACTTCTTCACGAACCAACAACAAAACGAACCAGCAACCGAACAGGCGGTTGATCATCAGCCTCATTTGATGTAGTTGAAGTGTTTGATGGGTGAGTATCTAGACTATCAGTAAACAGAGCCACATGCTAAATACACTTTGAGTTAAAACCGAACCCACTTTGCTCGCACTGGTTGATCCAATTTGACGAGAGGAATCCATATTTCTAGGCATTGTTATGGTATGATGGACTTAATAAGTGTACTAGAAACCACGCGCAGCGTTGCCGCGCGCCTGCCTATGTTAATAGGCTAGGTCGCATGCCTATGTTAGGCCAGGCCACGATGCGCGATCATGTGAGAATATCAGTTTGGAGAGCAGCTGCTTCCACACGTTGTTGTTTCTAAATTCTATTTAGTGATGCAAAATATAAAAGACTGGAGCAGCTTGCAAGACTAATATTTTCTAACACATATCTCTGTTTTTTATAACCGGGAAGTTGGGAAGACCATTTAGTTATCATTGTCGTTGCAAACAAAATACAAGTTTCTGATATTCTAGAAACCATTGCATTTTAAAGGAGATAAAGAGATATATTTGGTAACATGAAACCTTAAAAATCACATGAAGAAAAATCAGTACGTTTCTGAACTCCATATTGAGTTTATGTTCAAATCATGGTCACCGCTCGCTTATGAGCTGCGTGACGGTGCTGCCCCCTCTGCTGGATCATTGGATATTTGCCTTTGATGACTTCACCGCTGGCATGGAGCACATAACTGATAAATAGACCAATCAACACTGCCTGCTAGAAGCAATTAGGCCATGGAAATTTCATCAAACAGAAGCAGAAATATCAAATGCCTAAATTAGGTTATGGGGGATGAAATCCATGTGGCAAAAACTAAAAAGGAATTAGCAAACTGAAATGACTAAATGGCAGATGTACGGCACTTTTAACTACAAAACATAAAACACCTAAGCAAACACGTCATGAGATCTGTAGGATTACCAAGGATGCACTTGTATTCGAGCTACTTTCAAGCAATCTCGAAGAACACAATCATCTCGTTTACTAACTTCTTCCTAAGAAGTAAGAACACCTTCAAGGTGATGACAATGAAATTGTCAGCAAGAGCTATTGGATATATTGCAGAGTTTTATGTTGTGAGTTCCATCATCAAAATTGATAAAATGTGCACGTTTAAGCACTGGAAA